ACAAGCCCTATGAGGAGCGGCTTAAGGAGCTGGGCATGTTTAGCCTGAAGAAGAGAAGGCTGAGAGTAGACACGATAGCCATGTATAAATATGTGAGAGAAAGTCACAGGGATGAGGGAGCAAGCTTGTTTTTCTGCTTCCCTGGAGACTAGGACACGGAACAATGGCTTCAAACTACAAGTAAGGAGATTCCATCTGAACATAAGGAAGAACTTCCTGACTGTGAGAGCCGTTCAGCAGTGGAACTTTCTACCCCAGAGTGTGGTAGAAGCTCCTTCTTTGGAAGCTTTGAAACAGAGGCTGGATGGCCATCTGTCAGGGGTGATTTGAATGCAATATTCCTGCTTCTTGGCAGGGGGTTGGGCTGGATGGCCCATGAGGTCTCTTCCAACTCTTTGATTCTATGAAAAGCTCCCCTGGCCAGCGCCGAGAACTGGGGTTCCAGGCTCAGCAATGAGTCCAGAATCACTCCCAAGTCTTAATGTGAGGGAAAACGTTTACCTTTACCTTTATTTTACCTAACATCTCATGAGCCTTGGACAATATCTAATCAAACCAATTTAGCCAGATAAACAGACTAGTTTATCCCCAGGGAAATGGCTGCCATCACAGGAGTCCTTGGATCATAATGGAAGACAAAGCTCAAGTTGTGGATGATTGAATTTGTGGATGCAGATGGAATGAATGGATTGAATGAACTGTATGCCTTATATTAGTAAGCCATGATAAGGCTGAAGACAGCATCCCAAAAAGGGAACCTGAAAACTGCAAAGGAGGTGAAGTATTCCAAAGTTCATAAACTTTGGCTAGATCAAAGCTGATGAGAGAAAAACTATCTAACTGAGAATTTTGGGTGCAAACAACCCATGTTTACACAGTCAAAGACAATGGCTTTGAGTCATAAATGAAAGCAAAGCTTTGCTTTCATACAAAGCAAAACTGCAAAAAGTAATCTGCTGCCTTCTATCAATTTCAACCAGATGTATCTCCGGGCTTTTGTCAGTGACTTTACTTCTGGCAATTTCTACCAGCTTCAACATTACTTTAATTGGCATGGCTCTGTGCAATAGAGCTGTGAGAGTTGTCATTTGACAAGCCTTCTGTGTCAAAGAGTACAGATGCGTCACCAAACTACAAATTCCATATTTTCATAGCATTGAGCCACAGCGTCAAGCTGCATTCATTATTTGATTTTGCTTAGCTGTTGCAGACAGCCAATTCTCTCACACCAGAAGCGACTTGCTGTTTCTCAAGTCACTCCTGACATGGGGGGGAGGGGAAGCTGTACATGCATGGCTACTCTATATTGAAAAAGGCAGTATAGAATCTCCAGGAGACCCAAAGTTTCCATGGCTGCTCTCATCAGTCTTCCTGATCCACTTGAGCAGACATGGGCTCTTCTAGAAGTTATCATAGTCTTTAAAGGACAGGGATTGAAGAAGTCTTTTTGGACTAAAGCTGCCAGAATTCTTCGTCCAACATTTCCTATGGCCCTCTTTACTGGGAAAGTCTCTTGAGGTGTACTCTTAAATCATCCTCTAACCAGGTCTGTACGATTAGATTTAGGTCACATAGATCACCTCAACATTGAAGAGTTAATGCAGTTTAACCCCACATCAAATTCCATGCTATGGAATCCTGGGATTTATAGTTTGGTGAAGCACCAGCACTCTTTGGCGGAGAAGGCTCGAGACCTTGGAAAACTACAACTCCCACTTCTGTAGCACTGAGCCATGGCAGTGAAAGTAATACTTGTATGTTTTAATGAAAAAGTATAGGAAAAAACAGTAGTATCTTATTTAAGTGGCAGAAATAAATATAAATTTGAAACACTGTTTTTCATTTAAACTAGTTTCATTTCAATAGGTTCCATAGGACATTGGTGGAGCAACAATTTCAAACCATGAGCTAAACTGGAACTTCTGAGAATCTTCTGAGGCCATTGGTGCATTTGATGGCCTATGCGTGGGGAAACAATGTTGGACAGTGGTTAGAATTGGACAGAGTGTGATTCCAGGTGTAGTCTAACCAAGGCAGAATAGAAAGGTAGCAAGACTTTCCTGGATCTAGACACTCGACTCCTATTTATGCAATGGGCCAAAATCCCATTGTTTTTTTTTTTAGCTGCCACATCACATTGCTGACTCATGTTTAACTTGTTGTAATCAGCATTTCTCTCAGCCTGGGGGTCGGGACGCCTGGGGTGGGGTTGCGATGGGGGTGTCAGAGGGGTTGGCAAAGACCAACAGAAAACAGTATATTCTATTAGTCATAGGGTTTCTGTGTGGGAAGTTTGGCTCAATTCTATCGGTGGAGTTCAGAATGCTCTTTAATTGTAGGTGAACTATAAATCCCAGCAACTACAACTCCCAAATGTCAAGGTCTAACCCCCACCCCCCAAAACTCCACCAGTGTTCACATTTGGGCATATTGAGTATTTGTAAGTTTGGTCCAGACCCATCATTGTTTGAGTCCACAGAACTCTCTGGATGTAGGTGAACTACAACTCCAAAACTCAAGGTCAATGTTCACCAAACCCTTCCAGTATTTTCTACTGGTCATGGGAGTTCTGTTTGCCAAGTTTGGTTCAATTCCATTGTTGGTGGAGTTCAGAATGCTCTTTAATTGTAGGTGAACTACAAATCCCACTAACTACAATTTCCAAATGACAACATCAATTCCCCAACCCCACTATGTGTGCCGAATTTGGTCCAGTGAATAAAAATACATCCTGCATATCCAGTATTTATATTATGACTCATAACAGTAGCAAAATTAGTTATGAAGTAGCAACGAAAATAATGTTATGGTTTGGGGTCACCACAACATGAGGAACTGTATTAAGAGGTCGTGGCATTAGGAAGGGTGAGAAACAGTGGTTTAAATAGAGTATAATAAAACAAATATTTGCCGCTTGAAGCTTACAATGTCACCTTTGATGTAGATGCAACAAGAAAAAAACAAACAAATGTAGTTGGGTAAACAGATAGATGGGGACGTTTGAGTGAGAGGAATACATGCATTTGGTTGTATAATCTAGGAGCTGCCTTTCTCCAATGATGTGACATGAGCCTTGGATATCTGCTTTTTCCAGATCTCCCAGCTATATTCCAATATATGCTTTCAGAATTGAAATATCACAAAACTTTTTGATTCTGTTTTAAGGGGAACAAGCATTGAAACAGTGTAAATAGACAGGAAGCTGAATCTATAGAGAGTTGGACTAATTTGTATTTTCAAGAAAATTGAAAGAGTCAAATCATGTTCTTGTTTGGCTCAAGCGAGGTATCCTTCAAGATGTAAGAATGGTCAGTCAAATTTGACAGATTTAATATCAAGGTCTCCTGCAACAGAGAAGTACTCCGCAGTCTCCAGCCCTAGACGGTTTGGGAATTTAAGTTCTTGTCCTTCAGGCAGCTTTACAGTAACTTCTTCAGCATCAAAGGAGACACAGATCTGGAAGAAAGATAAACAAAAATCAGAGCTATTCCCAAGAAGGGTGTGTCCATTTGGAGTCTTGACACTTGGATTGGGCCATTGCTATGGGATTTATTTGGGGGGGGGGGGAATAAATGGGACAGTAAATTTTTGGGAGGGAGATGGTCATTTCGCCACATTTCTAGGGGTCTTGTGACTCTATGTGGATGTGGAAGACCGCTTATACCAATGCCCATAATACTTGACCATTGGTCATTTAATGTTTCTGACTGATTTTAATGGACACAGATCATGTATGTAAGATTTTGTCTTACACAGAGGGGAGGAATATAAATATTTACATATAAAGAGTATGTACATATATAGTTGACTAAAGCTGACTGTGAGAGCCGTTCAGCAGTGGAACTCTCTGCCCTGGAGTGTGGTGGAGGCTCCTTCTTTGGAAGCTTTTAAGCAGAGGCTGGATGGCCATCTGTCAGGGGTGATTTGAATGCAATATTCCTGCTTCTTGGCAGGGGGTTGGACTGGATGGCCCATGAGGTCTCTTCCAACTCTTTGATTCTATGATTCTATGATTCTCTCGGCTGATATCCTTGTCCATTTGAGTTAATTTTCTAATGCACATGCAGGAAATTTGGCTGCAGGCTTTGTTTAATTTTAATTAAAATCTCACCTTTCTCCTGATAATAGGACCCCAAAGTACTTGTAAAATAAATTAAAGCAACATACAACAATAATCTGGGAAACAATTTAATGAGACTAGGATGTGGAACAATGGCTTCAAACGACAGGAAAGGAGATTCCACCTGAAAATTAGGAAGAAAATCCTAACTGTGAGAGAGAGCTGTTCAGCAGTGGAACTCTCTGCCCCAGAGTGTGCTGGAGGTTCCTTATTTGGAGGCTTTTAAGCAGAGGCTGGATGGCCCATGAGGTCTCTTCCAATTCAATGATTCTATGTTTCTATGATTAGGTAAACTACAGTATTCCATAGGGAAGGGTTTATCTATACCATTGAATGAAGACATTTAGACACCATTTTAACTGCCATGACTCCATCCTATCGAATCCTAGGATTTGTAGTTTGGTGAGGGCATTATTACTCTTTGAGAGAGATGGCTAAATGCCTACTTTTGATGGCTAAAACCACAGATCCCATAGGTTTGATCCATAGTCATAAACATGGTGTCAAACTGCATTCATTCTAAAGCAGTAGTTCCCAACCCGTGGTCCGTAGACCACCAGTAGTCCGCAAGAATGAAAATATGGTTCATAGCCTCAGCATTACTACACCTTTGCAATGAGTGTAACTGGTCTTGCAAAACCCTCTTATAGTGCCGAGGCTTATTAAACATGGTTTTCTGTGGGCTAGGAGATGGCGACTACTGGATGGCATATGTTCTGTATCAGAAACTAGAGCTGATGTGGTCTATCCAATGCAATTTTCTGAATCAGCACTCCAAATAACCAAACCGAATCTAAAGTTGACTAAAACTTGATTTGTAACCCTTTTGGTACTGATGTTGGAGTGTGGTCCTTGGTAAAAAAAAACAAAAAAAACATTGAGAACCACTGTTCTAAAGTATAGATGAACTCCAATACTCCCTGTAGATATCTGAAACTATGGACAGTAGCAAAAGCTATATTTTGACTATCTTTGGGCTGGAAGAATACCATAGAATCTTACTGAAAGATCTAGAGAGGCCAACATAAACATGTGGAAGGGAACATTTTTTGGAGTATGGGTAAGTGAAACCTTGGATACCTATGGATAAGGGGACCATACTGTATTCTGTTGAAACACCTCTGATTTAAAACAGTAAAAAAATATATTAAAATACCATAAGAATCATGATAAAGCATGCAATACCCCACAAATGCTTCTACTGTACAACCAGTAGAAGCATTTGCTAAATACCTGTGTAAATAAATATACATCCCAAAAAAGTGTTATATACTAAATTTCAGTGGCAAAATGTCTTGGGAAGGCTGTGAATCCTTCATTCTCATTGCTGCCTTTAAGTTGTCTCCGACTTATGGCAAGTCCTACGGCAGTGGTTCTCAACCTATGGGTCCCCAGATGTTTTGGCCTTCAACTCCCAGAAATCCTAACAGCTGGTAAACTGGCTGGGATTTCTGGGAATTGTAGGCCAAAACACTCAGGAACCCACAGGTTAAGAACCGCTGCCCTAAGGCAGATCTCTCATGGGGCTTCCTAAGGTTGGAAAAACTTGCCTAAGGCCACTCAGTGGGTTTCCATGTCCAAGTTGGGACTTGGACCCTGTTCTCCAGAGTCAGCTCAATGCTCAAACAGTTAGATGGCTCTGTTTCCAAGGCCAATTCCTTGACCCTTTCAATAGGGCACCTCTTCCTCACCTTGGTCTCCTCTCCTTGCTGGAAGGGGAACTCTGACTCTCGCACTTCCTCGCCCCACTCTCCTTCCCTCTTGGAGTTACACACAATGGTCCTGGTGTCTCCATGGAGGTCAAATCGAGGGTTGAAGTGAAGGATCAGGTTGGTCTCATCACAGCCCACATTGATGGCAAAGCTGAAGCAAAGAGAGCTTAATATAATACAGTTCTCTTAATGCAAATCAACAAAACGCATGTTATGCTTCACATAGCCTGAAGGCCATTTTTACAATACAGTCAGTCCTTGAGTCACAGACATCCGCTTTACAAACAAACTCATAGTTAAGAACAGGGGTGAGACAACAGGAAGTGAGAGAAAATCTACCTCTTAGAAGAGAAGAAATTCACTCCTGGAAGAGTTATCATCCAGAAAAGGTGTCTCCACTGAAGCTTTACCTCCAGTAAAGGCAGGCAGACAAATGTCAGTGTGCTGAAAGAAGCAAAGACCACCAGCACAGAAACCATTGTCCAAATGACTGATCACCATCTTCAAAAACAGTTACTCTATTCTCAGCTGAAGAGCAGAAAATGGAAGGTTGGTGGACAGGAAAAGAGATTTCAAGATGGGTTTAAAGCCAATCTTTAAAACTGTGGCATAGACACTGGAAACTGGGAAGCCCTGGCTCTTGAGCACTCTTAACTGGAGGTGAGCTGTTACCAACAATGCTGTGGAATTTGAAGAGACACGAATGAAGGACGAAAGGGAGAAATGGGTCAAGAGGAAGGTGCATCAAGCCAACCCTGACTGGGACTGCCTTCCACCTGAAAATCGATGTCCTCATTGCGAAAGAAATGTGGATCAAAAATAGGTCTCTACAGTCACCTGTGGACCCACTGCCAACACCCTACACTTGGAAGGCCATCCTACTTGGACACGAGTGATCACTGATGATGACGATGATCTCCAATCCTTATTTCCACAAAAAGCCACCTTTTCAAAAATCCAATTATCACAAGGGCAGAAAGTGAGGTGAAATCTTCTAAACAGCAGACAGCAAAACAAACACCATAGGGGTGTTAATCCTTCCCCATGCAGACACAACATGAATGTGTGTTGTGGTTGTGTGTGGATTTAGTAGACGTAGCTGGTGCCTTCAATTACCTGTGCCAACTTACATCACTTCACATAATACCAACCACAGACTTTCTTTGGTACTTGAGGACTGCCTATGGTTTAAATATTTACGTTGTGCATACTGTAAGCGTTTCATTTTTTCGTCCGCCTTCGTTCTTCCTTATCTCTCTTATCATTTGTGGTATTTTTACCGGAAGGCTATGAAGGGTTCGCTATGCAGACGTACATGTGTAGTGGTGGTTGTGCTGAACTTGTCTTCCCAATTGCAGAGGACGGTTTCAATAACACCTGAAACAAGAAACCAGAGAGTCAGTAGATAGCGAGAACGGTTGAACAACTGGACCAAATTTTATGAGACCAGAATACGGGACCACTGGTAGAACACGAACATATCATGGTGGTTCCAGGACATTGTTCCACACATGGTGTGATGTTTCCAGTAAAGGGAACCATGAGTTGCAACTCTGTGTGCCAGTTAAAAAACTCTAAATTACTACGTTCAAACAACACGGCGATCAAATCTTAACATACATATACATATCCTCGCAACCAAGTTTCTATGCACGCCAGGCCATACACATTGCTTCATGTGGTCAGGAGGTATCTCGACTATATGTGTTATTTTATTTATTATCCATTGTTCCGCGTTTTATTCACCTGGAGGGCGCTCCATGCGTTTAAGTAACTAACCGTGAACCTATATATGATACATCCAACAATACTCATATCATCAACTCTTACGTGTGTCAATCGTCGTGTGCGCTGTGTGTGTCACTCTGTTAATGCCGTCTTATTGACCGTTCTGTAGTCTTGGGCTCTTCGTTTGGGTGGGGGTGTTGTGTGTGGCATACTACCGAGTGTGCTCATTAGCCCGTCTACCCTTATACTATGTACTTGCTCCACACGTAATTAAACGAGGGCAAAGTGTGTGTGTGTCATGGTACGGGCGTGTCACACAACCGAGGCAGACCACAACACAGTGTGTGTGTGTGTTTTTAAACTTCCTAGGGAGAGTCTCGTGTAATACACCGCAATTCTTTGATCCCCACCCGTTGTCCCAGAATAACCCCTTTCTGGCTCATGTGACTCGCCTTTGGCGCGTCTCCGCTTTCGCCTGTTCCCTCTTCCAATAGACCACACCTCTTAGGATGCTTGCCTAGTGCCGTGGGGGTACGTCAAGAGAAAATGCCTCTAGAACATGGCCATATAGCCCGAAAAAACCTACAACAACCCAGTCATTCCAGCCATGAAAGCCTTCGACAATACAGGAAAAAGGGTTCTCGGTGTTTCAGTAATGTTATTGGTGGCAACATCTTTGCTTCATGGTGTAACTCCGAACTCTGGATTATCAGCCTTCTTTATTCTGGACTGTACTTTGACTTCTGATTTCAACTGCACTCTCTGCCATCTTTGAACTGCCAGCTTTGTTGGCTTTGGATTGGAATTCTGGTTTCTGTTTGTTGCTTTGTAACTCCTTTGGCCTGATCACGATAATTTGGACTCTGAACTTGGAGTTTATCTCACTCCCAATGGCTAGTGTGTGCTAAAACCGTAAGCCTGTGAGGATTTGGCTCTGGGCTGTCTTATGTAGAACTTTGTTTGAATCTATGTTGTTTAATTGGAACTTGGCATAACACGACAACATGAGGGAACATAGGAATTTCTAGGTCTTCCAGCACCAGTTTCACAGGAAGCAGACTGTATTGGAGGACATAAAGACTCCTTGAAAGTTGTTCTCACTAGGGGTCTCAGGAGCCCCCGGTGGTGCAATGGGTTAAACCCTTGTGCTGGCAGGACTGAAGCCTGACAGGTTGGAGGTTCGAATCTGCGGAGAGCACGGATGAGTTCCCTCTGTCAGCTCCAACTCCCCATGCGGGGACATGAGAGAAGCGTCCCACAAGGATGGTAAAACATCAAAACATCCGGGTGTCCCCTGGGCAATGTCCTTGCAGACAGCCAATTCTCTCACATGAGAAGCGACTTACGGTTTCTCAAGTCGCTCCTGACACTGACACACACACACACACACACTAGGGATCTAGAGGAAGCTGACCATAGAATCAAATCCATGAAATATCAGAGCTGCAAAAGTCAAATCCACAGATGTGGAAGGAAAACTGTACAGTGTTCCCTCACTTATTGCAGGGGTTCCATTCCAGGACCACCCGCAATAAGTGAAAATCCACAAAGTAGGGACACCATATTAATTTTAATATTTATACATTATTTTATGTATTATTTTCATACCCACGCTTCCTTACTGGCCTCCCAGCCCATCCCAAGGGCATCTGCCTGCTTCCCTGGCCTCAGCAGACCCCTGCAGAGTCTCCAGAGCCACACAGACAGCAGCAGGCCTTCCCCGCCGCACCTCAGGCACCCTCACTTCCGGGGTCTGTGGAGGCCAGGGAGGCAGGTCTTCCCCACCATGCCTCAGACCGCCATACTTAGAGGCTCCCTGGCCTCCATTGGACATAATATTTAATATTTTATATTAATAATTTCAAAAACCCACGAAACAGCGAGTTTGCTAAAAGCGAACCGCGAAGTAGCAAGGGAACACTGTACTCTGAAGTCACTGAACCAGGAAATTTGTCATTTCTCCTAAGTTCTCTTTTACAAAAACCTATGACCCCATGAAAACAAACCTTGTGGCCTCGGGTGACACCTTGCCTTTCACTTTGATGCATTCCCCAGACTTTATCTTGGAGTAGAGCATCAGTTTCTAAAAAGAGAAGGACAGATATAAGAACAGAGAAGCCACCAGGAATCTTCCTTATTGTTTTCTACAAATATAAACAGCACAATGGAATAGTGTTGGACTTAGGCCCCCACCTACACTGTCATATAATCTAGCATCCGACCCCAGGCTATCTGCTTTGAACTGGATTATATGGCAGTGTAAACTCAATCTGGATTCAGAAACTGGGGTGTATCTTAAAAACAAAATATCAGATTAAAACACAATTCTAGTAAAAAGTGCATATCTTCATTTATCATTTGTGCCATAATAATATCTATTTGTTAGTTTCTAAGATACACAAGTCATGCCTTTTTGTCTTCCAGTACTCCATAGCATTGAACCAAGGCAGTTAAAGTGGTGTCAAACTACATTAATTCTGCAGTGTAGATGCATCAATAAATTGTAATACAAAAAGTGTAAATAAAATACACGATCGTCATTCGCGTCTTAGTAGCATTTGCTAGTTTCTTTCTGTTCATGCCTTTTTGCCTTCCTTTTTTGGCCACACAATGGAAACTCTCAGAAGTGTGACTTACAGCTACCTTATTAACTTCTTTGGGTTTTCTTAGGCAAGGAAAATCCAGAGGTGTCTTTACTTGTCCCTTCCTTTGGAATAGGGACAGCACCATTAGTGGCCTCCCACCCAAGTCCTAACCCTGCTTAGCTTCCAAGATCAAGGGGTTCTGGAGCCTTTAAGGCAGCATTTCTCAACTTGGGGTTGGGACACCTGAGGAGGGTGTTTCCCCCAAACTCCACCAGTGTTCACATTTGGGCATATTGAGTATCCGTGCCAAGTTTGGTCCAGTTCCATCATTGTATGAGCCCACAGTACTCTCTGGATATAGGTGAACTACAACTCCAGAACTCAAGATCAATGCTTACCAAACCCTTCCAGTATTTTATATTGGTCATGGGAGATTTGTGTGCCAGGTTTGGTTCAATTTCATCATTGGTGGAGTTCAGAATGCTCTTTGATTGTAGGTGAACTATAAATCCCAGCAACTACAACTCCCAAATGTCAAGGTCTATTTCCCCAAACTCCACCAGTGTTTACATTTGAGGCATATTGAGTATCTGTGCCAAGTTTGGTCCAGATCAATCATTGTTTGAGTCCACAGTGCTCTCTGGATGTAAGTGAACTACAACTCCAAAACTGAAGGTCAATGCCCATCAGACCCTTCCAGTACTTTCTGTTAGCCATGAGAGTTCTTTGGTTAAATTCCCTCATTGGTGGAGTTCACAATGCTCTTTCATTGTAGGTGAACTATAAATCCCAGCAATGACAACTCCCAAATGACAAAATCATTACCCCACAACTCCACCAGTAATCAAATTTGGGCGTATTGGGTATTTGCGCAAAATTTGGTCCAGTGAATGAAAATACATCTTGCATATCAGATGTTTACATTGCGATTCATAACAGTAGCAACATTACAGTAGGAGCCCCCGGTGGCACAGTGGGTAAAACCCCTGTGCCAGCAGGACTGAAAACAAACAGGTTGCAGGTTCAAATCCAGGGAGAGGCGGATGAGCTCCCTCTATCAGTTCCAGCTCCTCATGCGGGGACATGAAAGAAGCCTCCCACAAGGATGATAAAAACATCAAATCATCTGGGCATCCCCTGGGCAACGTCCTTGCAGACGGCCAATTCTCTCACACCAGAAGCGACTTGCAGTTTCTCAAGTCGCTCCTGACACGACAAAAAAAAAAGTTGTGAAGTGCGAGTGTGGAGAAGAGCAAACAACAGACCACCAATTACAATGCAACCTGAGCCCTGCCACATGCGCAACGGAGGCCCTTCTTATAGCAACACCAAAGTGGCCAGCTACTGATCAAAGGCCATTCAACAGAATGCCAAGTTAGCAAACTTTGTTTTGTTTTGTTTTTAAATACAATACAACTGTTTGGTTCGCTCCCGGCACAATAAATAAATAAGTTGTGAAGTAGCAACGAAAATAATTTTATGGTTGGGGGTCACCACAACAGAGGAATTTTTTTTGTCGTGTCAGGAGTGACTTGAGAACTGCAAGTTGCACCTGGCGTGAGAGAATTGGTCTGCAAGGACGTTGCCCAGGGGACCCCCGGATGTTTTGATGTTTTATCATCCTTGTGGGAGGCTTCTCTCATGTCCCCGCATGAGAGGAGCTGGAGCTGATAGAGGGAGCTCATCCGCCTCTCCCCGGATTCGAACCTGAGACCTGTCGGTCTTCAGTCCTGCCGGCACAGGGGTTTAACCCACTGTGCCACCACGGACTCCAGGAACTGTATTAAATGGCTGTGACATTAGGAAGGTTGAAAACTTCTGGCCTACAGCACCACTGGTGGCCTCCCACCCAAGTCCTAACCAGGGAGAACCCTGCTTAGCTTCCAAGATCAAAGGGATCTGGAGCCTTTAAGGTATCACACAGGATCAAAATCCATCCCTTTCAATATGATTTATGAACAGACTATGAACACCTTTTGGAGAAAGACATACTCACGAGGTGGGCTATTCATATTGTTAAATAGACTTTTACACTGTTCATAGAATCAAAGAGTTGGAAGAGACCTCATGGGCCATCCAGTCCAACCCCTTGCCAAGAAGCAGGAATATTGCATTCAAAGCACCCCTGACAGATGGCCATCCAGCCTCTGTTTAAAAGCTTCCAAAGAAGGAGCCTCCACCACACTCCGGGGCAGAGAGTTCCACTGCTGAACGGCTCTCACAGTCAGGAAGTTCTTCCTCATGTTCAGATGGAATCTCCTCTCTTGTAGTTTGAAGCCATTGCTCCATTGCATCCTAGTCTCCAGGGAAGCAGAAAACAAGCTTGCTCCCTCCTCCCTATGACTTCCTCTCACATATTTATACATGGCTATCATATCTCCTCTCAGCCTTCTCTTCTTCAGGCTAAACATGCCCAGCTCCTTGATTAAACTTTACAGCAGGAGGACACATGATAAAACAAAACAGATAAAAACAGTGATAGAAAGAACAATCACAACAATCACTTTTTTTTAGTTTTCTCTTGGCAAGAGTCCCACAAAAGGAGGAACCAAAAACTATTCCATAAACTCACCAGTGCCATTGATAAATCTTCTCAAAGAAGGCAGGAAAAGGAGACACAAAGCCTCTTAAGAGCTTCCAAAGATCTTTCCCAGCTCCAGATTTTCAATAGTCTTCAGGTGCAGGTCTTTCTTCCTCTCAAACCAGAGGTGAAAGCTCTGATCACCCATTAACCAAGAACTCAGTTCATCTCTGCAAGTGGGTGAAGATCATTCAAAAATATTGCAAAATAAATAAATAAATACCCCTTTCGCAAGTTCTAACTCTAAAAGATGCAGAGCCCAGGGAAGTTAATGTTTCTAGGTTAAAGGGGAAGTATTGCAAATGTTGCAGAATTGTTTCCAATGTTCTTTCCTCACTAGAGTCTTTTTCTTACACCTGACACTGTAACTAAAAGTTTCCTTGGACCACTGCTACCACAATCCCTCTTGATGAGCCGCATGAGCAGGTCTTAGCAATAGCTGCAGCCAAGAACTGGACTACAAATCCCATCAGCCTTTCTGCAGGGCCTCCTGATAGGGTTACTCAGCTTCTAAGTTCTGATTGGTTGCCAGGAGAGGACTGCATTGGCCATTGGCTGCCTCTTGGGCAGTGCTGGGATCAGCTGATAGGGATTAAGTAGACAGAGACAGAGGAGACCTCTAAACTGCATCTGCTGCTCTGCAATGTATATATGTATTGGAT